CTCTCCCTCTTCAGTTTGCCAGTGGAGAATTTGTTGGCTAAACAAGGCTGTCTCCTCCTCCTGGCTGACAGCTCCCTTCTGGAGCAACCTTTTAACATTTTTCTTGATTTTCTTAAACAGCAAACATTAGACACATTAAGAACAGCAACAACAAAATCATTAAGCACTATAACATTCTCTGAGGAGCCAGACGTATCCTTTAATCAGGTTATGGAAAATTCATTCCTCTTCTAGCCATTTATCTTCTTTGTTTATGCACATACCAAGTGACCCACTTCTGAACATCAAAAATAACAACAGAGAAACAACCAAAGATTCTTCATTATTAATGGATTTATGTGCCATTTCTTTTGCTTTATTGGAAACCAAATAATCAAGTTCATTTATTCAAATTAAACACAGCACACACTGTCTGTCATTTCCACCAGTGAATCCAGTTCGCTCACTTCAAAGTCACTACTTGACTTCAGTGGTGAAAGGATCTGTACCATACTTCCTCCTATAATGACTGGTTGCAATAAAGACGGAGAGGTATAGACTGAAATTAGGGTTATAGTGTGTTTTTCTCCCTGTGTTAGCTTACACCTCCAGTCATCCCTACAGATGCAAGGGGTGTAAAGCAAACACTATAATTTCATGAACTAATATTGTAGACTACATCAGATGAAATTTGTCCCCAAATTCACATGATTTATAGCAAGTATAATGTATCTATTATCATGTAATGAGCAATGCAGAGATCTCTGGCCAGATCGCTAATGAAAATTCTATGAATAAGAATAATAAACATGATGCGTAGGTTTGTAGTAAAAATGGCTTATTAAAAGCAATAAAGCCTTAGACTCAGCACTGGCCTAAAACCACTGAGTTAGTCAGGTATACTTGACAGAAATTAGTGACCAAAGAACTCCTCATTACATAAGTTGTGTGCTGATGTGATTCATATTTTAGCACCTAAACCAAAGCTCTCCCAAGACAGCTTTGGAAGAAATAATCTCATCATTTTATTGAGATTTCATAACACGTAATTTTTTTGCTGTTCCTGACAAAACTATTCAAAATGAAATTGACTTGACGAGAGAAGTACAGGAAGGTAAAATAGCAGAAGACTCTGCAAAAAATACTGTAGAAAGTTAGTTTTATTAAACAAAAGCTGTTCATTAATATAGAATCATGGAATCATAGAATGGGTTGAGTTAGAAGAGACCTGAAAATTTTCTGGTTTCAACCCCCCTGCCATGGAAGGAACACCTTCCACTAGACCAGGTTGCTCAAGGCCACATCCTATAGGCAAGAATACTTCTAATTTTAAAGAGACTTTATTGTGTTTAAACTTGGAATTACTTGCTCAAAATTGTCATGGATTAGGAATTACAATGCAAGCCGTAACGGAAATAACAGAGCGTTGAAAAAGATCTTTACTTTACTTTTTGGGAAAAAAATCCCAAACAACTTAACCTGTTTCTTTAGCCTCAAAAATATATTTTGCTGCATTCTATGTTACTATTTACTTTTTCTGTAAAAATATATTTTTAAAAGACATTTAACCACAAGGGTTGTTTTTATGAACATGAAGGTGGCGAGATATGAAATAGTGCTCAAAAGTTGTTAAAAGAATACCTTATGATAGTCAGAGAAACTGGAAGGTTAGAGGTGAATGTCAAGAGGAGAAAGGTAATAGAACCAGACTCCCAAAAATAGAGAAAAATGAATCGTAAATACTAGGAAACATAAAAACCATCATCATTATCAACATGCATGATGTAACTCTGCTGAACAGCTGCTAGTAGGCTTTAATGCCGTGTCAGTGACATTAACACTGCTTACGATTTTCTTTCATGTTTTTGACACATCCCCACAATCATGTGCATTTATAAAAACTTACCATAGAAGATGGCAAGGCATTTGCCCACAGGGACTGGACTGGGGATCCAATTCCCTGCAATTGAAATTCGTCATTTCAGGATCCAAAGGTGGTTTTGAGTGGTCACATTTTCTATTTTTATTCCCTGAGTTATTACAGGATATGAATGTCAATAATAGATAAGCACATCGCAAACAGACTCAGCAAGTTCTGCCTTTTCTGCCCCTGGAGAGCCACTGCTCAAGCAATATCTCAGCACTAGGGTGACAGTTCTCCCTGGTGGGGGATAAGAGACAAATCCCTTCTACTCCACAAGCCCCCTGGCCTGCACCATCTGATGAATTTATAGTCTCCAATACAGTTAGGTGTGTATAATGCAACGTATTGCTGAAGACCAGTTACTGTATTTTATAGCTGACATTACAGGGGATATTTTTTCCTACGAAATAAAACAATATTTGCTTCCTCAAAGGGAAATGTGTTGTCTGTAGCTATCAGCAGGCAACAGTTGCTGCTGGGTAGAGCTAAAGGAGCAAAAAGAGGTGTATTTTACTTCAGCGATGTTGGGAAGAATAATTTATCATTCACAGTGCTTTTCCTGGATTGGCGGGCCCATTTGAAAATCAGTACAGGATAACTGCTCTTTTGTATTGTATTAAATAATTGTATTAAAAATAAGGGTTACAGAAGATATTCTGACATGTCCAGCACTGCAACAGAATCTGGACTCCTACGTATCTGACTCTGTGTGTAGGGGTGTGAGAGGGTGGGAGGTGCCTACCCTCTTGAGGGCCTGTAGCTATTTACCATCAGGATCCGATGCCTTAATTTCCAAGCACTTTACAGAAATTAATCAGCCCAGTCACACAGTATGCCAGTGAGGCAAAAAATGAACATGGGCTTGAGGGATTTGGGGTTTCCTTTGATTTTGGCCCTGTTTCAAAGCTTGGGAAAGCACTGATGGGTCATTTTGTGGATTGCTCCCTGGAAGACAGAGCTACTTTGAGGCATTAAAGGCGAAAATGACATTCTGAAAAATACTTGGTATCAAAACCAGAGCTTCAGCTCTGTATCAGAGTAAAGAAACAACACCAGCAATATCTGCCGCAAGACACCTCCACTGGACTTGTCTGGGGCACAGGACTTACCCTTCCCAGAGGGATTGCAGACCAGCTTCCCCTGCCCTACAGATCCCTTGCTTAGAACATCCATTTTTAACTGCTTCCCTGGTTCATTGAGGGCTTGGGGAGATAAAATTTTCTGTTAAGATGTATGCATATAGTATACCAGTTAGCACTGCATATCAGGTCAGATGTTAGCTCTTGCAAAGAAAATCACATTTAATACTGTCCTGTTATACTGAGACTTCCTATTTGTTTATTTCTTTGTTTTTGCTTTAAAGCTAAAGTAAAGGACACCTGGGGTGCAGGAACACATCTGTGAAGAAAGAGCAATATGTTTCTAGTACCAGGAGTCAGGATGTATGAAATTATTCTCTTCCCCAGTTTACAGTTTTGCTAGGAAACTAATGCTACAGAGAAGATCAAGGAAGAGCTGTCAATAAGCAGGTAGAAACATCCAAAGGCTGCCCTGGTAGAAAGCCTTGATATTACTACAGCTTCTGCAACAACATTTAAAAGTCCTGTGAATGATCAGCAAATGGGTAAGGTGGCTTGTAAGTATGCAGAGATCTTATACATGCTTTGCATGAAATAGCAGGTACTATTTGCGTTTTGCACCAATACAGTACAGTTATTGGCCTTTCTACCATGGTGAGCCTGTACCAGACCTGCTGAAGGTCATGGACCTGCAGTCCTTTGGCAGGTGTAAGACAGGTGATGAGCAGCTCTTGGTAAGACCCATATGTGGTCTTTGAAATCACCAAAGGACGTTGGGAGCATGGTATGCCCAAACCATGTGAGGGACAGGGTCTGTGGTCTGCCACCTCTGGAGCAGTGTGTGACACAGCAAGGACCTGGATGACATTCACTGGGTCACTGCGTACAGCTGATCTCCAGGCATTCCAAGTAGATCCACGTGTCTACAGGTGAGGAAGACAGCATGGTTTGGGAAATAGCCCGCCTTTCAGAAAAACCCTCAGCACTTGGGCAGCCCATCAGCCTCTCCACGAGCTCCTGTATCTCTTGCTGCTCACAACTCATTTCTCCCAGGCGTCAGCTGTAATGAAGACAGGACGGTCTACAACTTTATGACAGTTCTATTAATTTCTACTATTTTCACATAAACCCAAGCAACGAGCAGCAGTTGCTTCCTCTGCAGCTTGATGAATGTCAGCATTAATTAAAATTGTTCGGAGCGGGGTCGGGTTTTTTTCCTCTCTCTGTACAGGGCTGGCAGGGAGGAGAAGCCTGATGGGCAGGCGCAGCTGCTGAACTGTTGACTGGGAATGTTGTCACTGGGAACGAGGCAAAGAAGTGGTAGCCAGTCTCTGACAAAGTGGGTTGGAAACAGTGGAAGCATTTTGTCACCTGCACCACACTGCCACTCAGCTACGTGCAGGAGGTTGTCTGGGTATGGGTCCTGAACTTAATCCTTTGCTCCCCTGTCTGGGAAGTCTGCAAAGGCAGCTGTTCAGCCCATATGGAGGGGATGGTGCTCCGTCACCACTGCTATCTAATGATGCTTTCCTGACTGACACTCCAGAGCGAGCCCTTGATTCAGGAGGGAAGGTCAGTGCAACACAGTGCCTTTTAGGCTGCAGGAGGGAAAGGCGGGATGCCCTGCTCACTAAAACTGCCTGGGGATCACGTATTTATATGCACTCTTTTCCTACACTGACCCCACCAAGACATTCATAAATCTACCTTCTGTAAGCTTTGGGGGTGCTCAAACAGCAACCAAAATTATGCTTCAGTGGTCATGGATGTGCCTGTTTCCAACTGTGTTAGGTCTGAATGCAGCCAAGGTGCCACTCTGATGGCCGCAGTGCTGGCATCCTCATTTCTGCTACCACTATGCTCTCAGAGGGGGCCATTACTCTCTGCTACAGCTGATTTTCATACACAATTATGAAATAATTTTTTTTTGCTTCACAAACTTTACCCAAAACAAAGGACAGAAATGCGAATGAACCCATGGGAATTAAATGCATGCACACTTCTGACTTGGACTGAAACATGTGCTCCAGTCACTGGGGCACATCTCAACAACCTCCCCAGAGTGTTTCTCGTTGGGGGCAAGTAAACAGCTTGGCTTGCAGAGCAGGACCAGTCCCTCCTTTGCAAAATATCATCAAGAAAAAGGTGAATGGTTTTACACACACTTTTCATAAAGTCCTGCATTATTCCCTGAGAAGCTGAAGAAGAGAGACAAGAGACTAGGAAAGGCAATAACCTCTCCAGATCAAAGGATAGATCACAAGGAATAAAGAACTGAAAAGCTTTTGGAAGTGAAAAATAAGGTTTTTGTAAAACTGGGGGTTTATTAGACACACATGGAGACAATAGGCTTGATTTACAAAACCACTCAGTGATAACAGAAATAGACTTCCCCTTGGCATCTGTAAAAATCTCATCTACAAACACAGGTGTGGAAATGTGATTAAATGAATAGCACTATTGTGAATGATTGCAAATGAAACTCAGTTTCATTCTGTATTGAGATTTATTCTGTTTCTTTTTCAGATTTCTGGTACCACAGGCTGGTCCTTCTAACTACTGTCTCCTGCAGCTACACTTTGTGTCAGGTACAAGCCCTGGTTCCCTTGCTCTTGTTTGAATTTACTGCACTCCTTTGTTTTGTTTGCATTGAGCATTATATCTGTTTCCACTGCCGGTCTGTACGAAGTATGTTTCATCTAGAAAGATACCGATTTCTAAAAGCCTTATTTCTGAGCAGATACCTGTCACAGCAAGGGTAGTAATCTAAAAAAAATCCTAAGTAGAAGTGTCTTTTAACAACATAAAAACCAACAATTGAGTCTCTCCCACTTGTACTCCTGGTCTAATCTTGCAGTGGGTTAGGATTTCTGTCTGTATGCGTGAAAGAAACCTGGTTTCTGTAAATTTCTTTTTAATAAGGATGTGTTACCTGTGATTAATATATATTGGGTCAAATGAACCTGATTGTGAAAACATATTGAAAAACAGTATTGGTAGGATTTAATTTCATCTCTTGAAAAAGAAAAAAAATGAAAAACCACCAAACCCCAAACTGTAGCTATTGAATGCTGGTTTGAATTAAATTCTATTTGTTTTAATAAAAGTGTAGTGGCCTGAGTGTACATATATTTGGTTTAGTGGCAGTGCATTGGATCCAATAAAACTATATTGGCTTCACTGCTTATGTCTCCTTTTCAGAGAAAATGGATTGAATGGAAAAATGAAACAGGCATGAATCAGCCAGCCCCGAGGTCTCTGCTCAACTCTGGCACCCAAATAAACTGGTAAAAACCCCAACCGTATTAGTAAACATTGTTTTTAAATTTAAATATGTTTTAATGTCAAGGCTGCACAAGAGGTTTAATTGCTTCTGTAAGAGAGAGGTTTTCAGAACCAGACTCTGCTGTGGAGGGTCAGAATATCTGCTCACCGCTGCAGAAGCAGAAACCTAAACTGGCTCTGGCTCTCTGTTCCAGCGGCCTAAGCCAGGCTCACTCTCAATAGAATGATCACCACATATCTGCAGTCATGCAGATCGAGTGTTAGCGGCCTCGGTGCAGGGGCATCTCTACCCAAACGTGCAGGCACACGCAGCATGGGTGTAAATCACATCCACATCAGGTGCGAGTTGCCAGGGGATGGCATTCCCGAGGGGTCCAGCTGCCACAAGGGTTTTAAACATGCTCTGCCAGGATCAGTCACTTCTGTCACTATACTCCTATACTCACCTGCTTTTGCACCAGACCTCACAAATGTCTGTGTTTTCTATGCGGCAGTATTACCTGCACACGTGACTGCGGATAAGAAAGCCACCAGTTGCCAATGAGGGGCTGATCTGGAGCTCACTCATGGTGGCTTTTTGGAGTGGTGTAAGGTACCTTCTGCTAAATGTGAGTAAGGATAGGCTCAGTAGAGTCTTAAGTAAGTTAAAGTGTGATTTAACCCTTTGTTTTACATTTGCAATCTACATTGTCCCATGTTTTTAATGAGGCCTGAGGTGGGCAGCTCTGCAGCTAGCTGATGTGTTGAACACAGGAGCTCAGGTCATCACACTCTTGCATAAATTCATTTGCTATATCATTGTCATCCCTGTATCAACACTCCTAAAAATGTCTCCAAGTGCCTTTTCTAAATCCCTTAAATTGAATTAAAAAAAGGAAAATGCACTCCTGTCCTTTTCCAAATGCCACCTTTACAGCCAGTGCAACTGGGGCACAGCTCCACGCAATGCCTCTAAGGTTAGAAAGGACACTTCATTCTCAGCATGGCAAGCACTATCTGGATATTTGCTAAGGGGTGAAATGGATTCTGCTGGCTGGCCTGGCTTCTCACATACCTTAAATAGCTGTAAGCTGACAACCCAACCTGGGTAATGCTTTGCTTAATGCCGTGCTTCCTTTTAGGAGCCTGGAATCAGGTTGTGTGAATCCAAATCTGCATGTTACTCCTTCATGAGTAAATATGATCTGCATCCACTTGTTTACAATTTATGCTGAAGTGGGTGACCCTGGGATTGCAGGAGCCAATCCAAGTGAGGAGATTTGGCTGCAGTAGTAGTTTAGCTGTGGGAGAGGAGATGGCTGCAGGCTGCTCCAGCCTTGGCTCCTCAGAAGACTGTGAGTGAAGAAACAATTCAAAGAAAAACAAAACATCTGTTAGTGAAGCAATATTCAGGTGAAAATCCAGCTGAGGAGTGGGTTTGAGAGCTCTACACTGAGCATCACTGACAAAACCCCCGTGACCTTGTGGAGGTGGAATATAAATTATACTCTGTGCAGTCAGTTCATACACCCCAGGAACTAACTGCCTCCTGAGCCTAGGGTGGCCAAACCAGACTTTTGATAGCCATGAGGGCTCCACCACCATGCACATGATGGTGGTGAAGGTGGCGGCATCTAGGTAAGTGATTTGTGAGCACTAGGAGACATCGGTGGATGCCAGTAAGTAAAAAGGCTGTGGACATCAGTGGATGCCAGTGAGTAAAAAGGCTGTGGACTTCACAATGATGTTCACTGACATGCTTCCTGCCCTGGGCCGTGCCAAAATGCAGATACCTGTGAGGGGCTGAGAGAGGAATTTGGGTTTCTTTAAGAATTTGAGAAATTCTTGCAGGAGCCTATCCAGGAGAGATGTGCCCTACCAAAACCAAGCAAGACCAAGTAGCTGGTACTTACAGTATAAAGGGTTAACGGAGAGTTTCTATCTAGAAGCTGGCATAAATCTGGGTGCAGAGGAGTGCACAGTTTGAGGTGACACCACCTCCAGGGGTGAAAACATAAATTCTGTATCAGAAGAGGATTGGATAAATTAAGGGAGGAAAAATCCCACCAGGGCCATTAAATTCTATGGTCCAGTTCCTCCCAGCTGCTGGAAGCTGGAGGTGCAAGCAGGGGATTTATCCGAAGTGCCAGGTCACATGGCAGAGATGGGTCTTGATGGCCTCTTTCTTGATTCATGATCCCTGTAACAGACAGGGTGATGGAGATAGTGAAGGAGAGATCTTTACACTGCCTGCCCACCTCAAGATCACCTGCCTGCGCCCCATGTCCCCCACAGTCCATCTCTGCCCCTTATCGCCTGCCATCCTGCTCCCCCATGGCTACCGTGCAGAGTCAGCCCCCACATTGCAGCCTCCTCTGGCCAGTCCTCCACCTTGCAATGAGCAGCCACAGACAGCTTTTCTGCCAACATTGCAGCCACCTGAGCAGCATTTCTGCTTTTATTATCCCCTGCCCAGGCATGTGGGCAATGCCTTGTTTGAGTCCGAAATACGTTTCACTTAAGCCATGATGATGGCATATTAAAGTGCTGTAATCTTTGTTAGGTCTCTCTTTACACTGGTGTAATTACTGTAATAAGCTTTTTCAACTGGCTCTTTTATAACTAGCAGCAACATAAAAATATCTCAGCATGTTTTCCTTTAATGAGCTACAACTTCTGTGTAATCTTCCCTACACTTCCCTACACTTCCCTACACTTTCCTCAGTATCTCTGTTTGCGGTGGATGCACCATCGTTTTCACCTCATGGTGCTATTTCATCCCTGAGCTAGTAAGATGGTGCTGGGACCCTCTGACAGGCTTTGTTCAGGTTGCTCCCATCTGGAAAATTCAGTGGTGGTGGTGCCGAGTGATGCCAGCATGGAACACAAAAGCGTTCCCCCTGCTTGGCCTTTCCACCAGCAGCAAAGCTTTTGGGAAGCCTCAGGGAGCAGGGTGATTTTGTCTGTGGCTGTCATGACCACCTGAGCCAAGGGAGGAAACATTCACCACCATGGCTGGTGGGCCCTGCCAGTGTGTGGATCACACCACCCAGACACTGAAGATGCTGCAGTGAATGAGTTACCATCACTCCTGTCTTGTACCCATTTAAGGACACCAGCGGGGACAGTGATGACAAAAGGGATTGATACCCAAATGCCAAGACAGAAGTTCAGTGCCATGGCTGGTAACCGATACAAGTGACTGCAGATGAGCCATGAAGCAGAAAGGGTTTTGACTATGCAGCACAGAGATTCGAGGGACAGCTGCGGAGAGCTTTCTCCGTCATCACTGCTGGCAGAAAGTGCGTTAGCAGTCAGGCAGTGCCTCCGCTCCAGCCATCCGTTCACATCTCTGCTGCCCAGCTCCATCAGTCCGGTCTCAAGGAGCACTTTTGCCTCTCAGCCCTCGCCCCCAGAAAGGTGCTGTGGGAGAGCCAGCAGAGTGTGGAACACAGTCCAAAACGCCTCAGTCAATTACGCCACTGTACTATCACATCAGCAAACTCACAGTTTGACTGCTGATGGCAGATGGACGAACACTTGTTGGTTATCTGGTGCTGAGCGAGAGGCAGATTTATTTCCAGAGCTTGTGACTCTCATTTCTCCCAGCTGAAGCTGCGAGGCAGAGTGTGCATCTGTGATTTACTCTTTTTTTTTCAGGCAGAGCTATGTTGCAGTGATGTCTGTCACCAAAAGCAATGGGATTTTTGGCGTGTTTCTAGGAGGAAAGCTGGAAGGAGAGTGGAAGGCATCTCTGCTTTCCATAGTACTGGAAGTTGCTTGAATTCACACAAGCATGAACTGAATTTCCAAATCTTAGTCACATTCTGTGTGCACTGACACTGACAGCTGGCTCACTAGCAAAGGATTCCAGAACCCCATAAAGCAGGGTGAAAAGCACTGGGTATCTGCATTGGGGTGATATTAATTGCACTCTAAAAATAAAGTGAATTGCTACCTTGGAACTGGCCAAGGGTTCACTTTGCTCCGTTGCCAGTTCTGGCCATCAGCAACATCAATTGTTTCAGGGGAATGGAAGGAGACCCCTCAGGAGACAGTCTCTTGAGTAGGGCTGAGTTAAAGGCTGAAAGTAAAGCATGAGCTATGGAAGTAACTACACTTGCTACAGAAGCAAGCATCATATACTTTCTGTCGACATTCCTCCAGTGAGACATCAATGCAGCACAACAACTGCTAGCAGGCAGGACCTAACAGGGACTGAAATACATTCTGAGGTGTGAGATTTACTGAAACCTGTAAAGCAGCAGCTGCAAGAACCTCACTCACTGCTCACCAAAGCTCTTGTATTCCTCAGAAATATCCTTCCTGTAGGAAAAGATGTACAATGTGCAAATGTCCATAAAAGACATTAATACCACTGCCAAGGGCTATTTCCTTTTTCAAAAGGCACTCTAAGACTTTATACTTTACCAAGGGTTTTTTTAAGGGCTGGGTAATACCTATTGGAACCTGGTCCTGAACTCAACTGCTAATTTTAGATCCTTCATCTTCAAAGCTGTCCATGGAGGGCTATTAGTACCTTCTGACTGGACAACACTCTTGGTAGCAAAAGCAGTGAGAAGTGCACACTAAAAATACATCAATTTTCTGAACAGTTTTCTCTGCTCATTTTTGGTGGGATCCAGCTTAGAATAACAGAAACAATTTCATTTGGAGCAGGTCGAGTATTTTTTTCTCCCCCTGAAAAATAACACAAGAAAAGCACAAGGGAAATGGCACTGTGCTTATTGCAAGGAAATCTGTTTATGCGTGATTTGAAATCAGAGCAGAGTTTCACTTCATTCTGTCTTGTGTTGTTGTGTTTCATATTTCATGCTTTGGTTAACACTTATTTAGTCTATTCCTAGAGGCTGTGACAGGTTGTCCTGAAAGTTTTTAGACTTGCTGAGCGTACGGTCTCCACAGACCATGTCAAAATGAAAGGAACAAGGAATTCATTCATTTTTATGCAAAAAAAAAAAATCATTTTAATATTTTAAAGAACCAGCCTTTCTTCCTGACATTGTACCATGAAACATGTACATCATCAACACCTAAGTTATCAATAGCTTTGAAGAAAAAAAGCAATTTTGTATGAAATTCCCTTTCTATAATTCAAAGAAATACAAGTGAAAGATCTGGTTCTCCTCCTGAATTCAGGGGAAATAAAAAAATTGAGAATGTCAATTTTTGCCCAGTAATTCCCCTTTTCAGTCTATTACAACTTTAGCCAGTTTCAAGGGCTTTAACAGCTTTTTCCTTCCTAGTCACATCTCTGTGGGGAAGGAAGATATGACCAGTATGTAAGAGTCAGTCCTGCGCTTGTCAGCTTGTGCTTTGGCTTCATCATATGCTGACCAGGTCCAATTATACTGAAAACATTTTAAGAACATGGTAACACCTTTGGGACCAAAAGTGCATAGAGAATCCTTCAGGAAGAGAAGGTGATAGGTGGAGGTGACTGCATTGGGCTGGGACTGCAAAATTCTGCCTGTATTTCCTCCTGTTTTCCCAAGCCAGGCGCTCTGGCTGTCATCACAGGAAAATGCTCACGGATTTGCATGAGCACCCAGCTTTGCCATGTGGGCATCACAAAGGGTGCAACGTTCATTTTGGTGCAAAGTCCCTGCTTCTACCCAGCTTAGCACTGGAGAAGTCGGTGCAACTCCAGATCCTGCATGAGCCGGGGTGGTTTTAATGCACCGTTTCTACCCAGCTGAGACCCTCAACCCCACCTCAAGGATATCCATCAGGGTCTGACAGCTGGGCATCAGCTGGGCTGACTCAGACCCTAATTGTGTCTCTTGTGCTGGTGGCTGCTAGGAAGAGGGCAGAGGGACGCACTGGGGGCTCCCCTGGGCTCCTGGCTCCCTGCTGGTTGGGGATATTTTGCCTCCCAAGCCTGGGAAGTGGCATCAGTGCCAAGCACATCCTCACTGTTTCTCAGCTCCTTTGTAAACCTGACTCTAAAATGCACAACAGAGGGGTCCTTTAAAAATCATGAGAGATAGAGACTCTGCAGCAGCCATTTGATTTCTAGGCTAATTAAAGGTGTGCACAGAAACGCACTCATACACACACACCTGCTAACTAACCAGGCAAGCAGTGCAGCACTGCATTTTCATTACTATCTCTGCCCGCCATCCCATCACCGTGTTTGATTCCCAGGAAAGGCAATTACCCAGTTCACTTTTCCCAGAGCCTACTTAAAGGCTCAGGAAACACTTCACCAGACAGGCACTGCCCAACGCCTAATGACATCTTCAATCTTGCTTTATAGATGTAGCTGCAAAGGAATGGCTTTTTTTACTTTCCTGACTGAATACCTGTGTTCTTTGGATTTTATGTGTAGCCCCTGCATCTATTTGGTCACCCTGTATGTTGCAAGCGGTGTGTTTATTGTGGTTAAAAAAACAAGGAGTGAAGTGAAGGCTGGCATTTCTTATACTGGGGAACACTGCCTCTCACTCAAGCTGACACCAAGCACACTCATCCCCAGCCTCACCTGCTTCCCTTTACCATTGAGGAAATTCAATCCACTGCCATGTCATTGGTACAATCATTTCCGGCTCCTGGACACCAGTCTGAGTATGACAGTCACACAAAACCACTGTCACACTCATCTCAGGCAGCCTGTGCTTCAGCGGTGTATCTTCATTCCCCATGGCTGCCTCACTGACTTCCAGCCGTCATTCCTC